TTTGTATGTAGGGTGGGCTGAATTTGATTTTAATTTTTTTTATAATTTTGAGGGATAATATTGAAATTTATTTTTAAAGATTTTTACTATTTTTATCAATTTAAATTTTCACAGTTGCGGGAAATGGTCTGGGGGCAACAATAATTATTTACAGGAGGACTTGTGGCACCTTAGAGACTAACAAATTTATTTGAGCATAAGCTTTCGTGGGCTACAGCTCACTTCTTGAGATGCATAGAATGGAACATATAGTGAGGAGATCTATATACACATACAGAGAACATGAAAAGGTGAGAGTTGTCCTACCAACTCTAAGGACAACTCCCACCTTTTCATGTTCTGTATGTATATATATCTCCTCACGATATGTTCCATTCTATCCATCCGATGAAGTGGGCTGTAGCCCACTAATAAATGTGTTAGTCTCTAAGGTGCCACAAGTACTCCTGTTCTTTTTGCGGATACAGACTAACACGGCTGCTACTCTGAAACCAGTAATTATTTAATGATTGTAAATGGTGAGATTGAAGACGTTACATTTTGATAACTGTTAAAGCACAAATTGTCACCATCACCTGTCAACATATACAACAAAAATAGCCTAAAATCAAACTCCAATACAGTCTCAAGAAGTATTTGTTTTACCATGCCTATCGGAAAAATTTGTTATCAGTGCAAATATCTTATGTCTTGGTTTGGGTGTGTCTTGTGAAATCGACCTTATCAGCATTTTCAGGTGAAAATCTTATCCTGCCAAACCTAGTCATATCCCTCTTAGCCAGCTGCTGCCTCTTCTGTCCCTGACAGCACCCCTAGAGCAGGGCGACCTAAATTACAGACCACTTTGGAAAGTGTCAGCCAAGGTCTGTGCGGGCATTTCTGTAGTAGAGTTGGGAACAGGACCGTGAATTTGAGAGGCGCCGTTTCAAGTTCCTGCCCTGGGAAATGATCTCAGGCCATCTGCAAGCAGGTCCCATCAAAATGAAGCCACAGTTAGAACTGGCTCAAATGTTTCTATCAAAAACTTTTTGATGTTGAAAACGGGATGAAAAATGTGCCTTTTCCTCCCTGCTTTTCCATCCCTCCCCCCTTTTTTAATGAAAAAACTCAGTTCTTGTGGGGACATTTCCTTCTCTTTCCTTCATTTTCCATACGCAGATTCCACTCATGAGATTTCTCCCACCAAGTCTCTGTGATGCCAATTAAATAATTATTTAGCTTGTGTACGGATACTTCCAGTTCCTCCTCTTGATTCCCCATGCTCCTTACATTTGTGTATAGACATCTAAGGTGGCTGAGAGGGGATGGGAGCCGAAGGGAGATGGGAGCCGAGGGGGGACTGGAAGAGGGGTAGAATGAGGAGGATCCTTCCACAGCAATGGTGGGGAAGCAGTGGGGTCCGGGGGCAATGTGGGAATGGGTGGGGAACCCAGGGCGGCAGCGGGGGCAATGGGCGGGGGGGCTCTAGGGAGGGAGTGGGAGCCAGGGGTGCCAAAATACAAGTTCACCCAGAGCTCCATTTTCCCTCAGGCCACCCCATTGCTGGTCGTTAATGTCCTAGTGAAATATGTGTGGCAACACTGCATGTAAGGTTGTAAGTTTCCACTGGATGCTGTTACTCAGACGTGTCCCAAGTCTGGGCAGTGGGCAAACCAGATCCTCAGGGACAAAGGGCAAGCTGACGCCTCAGACAATTGTCAATGGGCCATTATCTGATAAGTGGCAGTTCTTTGGCAGGAAAGGGAGCCGGGGTGAAAAATCCACATCTTAGCAAAGAAAGCATGGAGTTCCCATCCACACACAGGGCCTGTCACCATGTTCCCAGCTGGAAATGCATCTCAAAGGGGGGAGAGAACAATAAAAAGGGAGGTGCGATCCCCCAAAACACCCCCCACTGCATTCACCTGAAGGACAAAGGAAGCAGTGTTGGACTGGAGCGGGAGGGGCAGGAATGGTTCCTGAGCTAAGGCCGTGGTTACACTCGAAGTGCGAGTGTGGTCGTGCGCCAGCGCTGGGAGAGCTCTCCCGGCGCTCCAGGTACTCCACCGCCACAAGGGGATTAGCTTACAGCGCTGCAGGCATTGATTACACTGGCGCGTTACAGCGCTGTAACTTGCTGCCTCGGGGCGGGGGGGTGTGTGTTTTCACACCCCTGAGCGAGAAAGTTGCAGCGCTGTAACGCGCCAGTGTAGCTATAGCCTAAGTCTGGTCAGTAACCTGCTGAAGGATGTGATGAGGAAACTTGGCTGTGAATCTAATGTAACTTGTTCAATTAGTCATGTTTTATCTTCCTTTTGCCAGTACCCGTTACTGACTTCTATGTCTAGTACTTGTACTCGCTTCAAATCTAACTCTCTGTAGTTAATCAACTTGCTTTACTGTTTTATCTAATCCAGTGTGTTTGAACTGAAGTGTCTGGGAAACTCCATTTGGGCTGACAAGGCTGTGCACATATCAGTTCTAGTAATAAAATGATGGACTTTACATCAGCCCGTGTTGTCCGGGAGAAGGCCGGGCAGCAAAGGACATATGTTTCTGTATAAGAATCTGGAACTGTGGGTGTGTTGGCGTTGCCGTGCAATATAACCAAGGCTGGGGAGAGCCAAAGTGTAACCCAGGTGTGGCCGGCAGGCTGCAGTCACACGCACACACTCAGGGTGCAGCTCGCACGCTGGAGTCTGTTTGTGAGCAGCCCGGGGGGAGCTATTTCTGCAGAGCATTGGAAGGCACCCAAGGGTGCAGGGCAGGGGTGGATTGTACCATTAGCTGTGGTACATTGGCCTGGACATACCCTGGGGATGTCACAGCGCTGTGGGTAGGGGGCAGCGCTGGCGACAGGAATAGAAATCTATCGACTCTGCCAAAGACGAATGTGAAGAATTTTAAGTTTCTATCTCACATCAGAGTGTACAGCTGAGCCTGTCTAGAAAAGGAGGAGAGAGAGAAACATACACGCAGACAACGGAGAGATTGTACATCTTTTTTTTGTTCACAAACTCACCTTGTACTCCACTCCAGGCAAACATTACCCAGCCTGAGGCCCCTAAGGAGGATTTGGTAAGTGAAACCCCTCTGGTGTATGGATGCTTTAACCACTAGACCCCACTCCCCTCCCAGAGCCCGGGAGAGAACCCAGGAGTCCTGGCTCCCAACCCCCCTGCTCTAACCACTAGACCCCACTCCCCTCTCAGAGCCAGG